GGTAAATTATTTATAGTAACTGGAAGCTTCCAGTAGGCTACTTTTTTAAAGCTGGATTAGGAGCAGCGTGCATCAGTTATTTTAATTGCTTAAGATGGTTAATTGAAGCAAATGTTAATATTGTTAGTCTGACATGTGAGGTGCTTCAAATTTCTCATGAGAAAAATCTAGGCTGCATTTGAATTGGATGATTTTAAAAACTTTCTTCTTCCTCATCCCACAACACAGCAACCCATATATTTCTCTGATCCTTGCCATGCTTAAAATTGGTAAGAATATTTTGGGGACAAAGGTGTTCTAATTGACTATGAACATAAAATAATTCTGGAACACATAGTTATTTAAATAAATTACAAGAAGAGAGGGCCTTCATTTGGCAATAAATTGAAAGGCCATGTATTTTGGAAAAAACACCAATTAAGTAAATTTAGGCACAACCTTTTAGTATAGTGATTTTTAGATTCGTGGTGATGTCTGCAGTTGTTAAAAAGAAATTCATGGCTTCAAGATGCATCAGGCACAATACGATTCATCAAATATTTAATAGGTATTATTTTAAATTCCAGAAGTATTCACCAGGTTTCCTATAAAAAAGCAATGTCACTGAATTATTCCTATTTTAACAATTCTCAGCGAAGCAAATTTTTACTTGAAAACCTTTTGGAAGAGAGAAAACACCTCTAGTACTTAGCAACAAAAAACAGGTTTTTTTAGGATTTTTATCGTATTGAAAGTGCAAGGGGGTTCGAAAAATTAGTAAAGAAAGAGAATGAGTATATACCATGTACAAATTAAATCAAGATAACATAGCTTCTGTTTGGTATAAGATCAAAATGTGGCTGCAATAATCCAACTTGCAGGCAAATTCATTTCTGCTTTAAAAAAAATTCTTGTTCATCAAGACTAGAATTAATAAAAATGGAAATTGCTCAGCAATAAAAACTATAAATCCTTGTATGTTCTTCACCCAAAATCCAACAGAAGGATAAATAAAAGTAGCCGAAGAAATTTCTATTAGAATGAAACAACTCATATGATATATTTGGCTAACAGATTATGTCTTTCTTTATATTCCGGCCTAGTGAATATTAGAAGAACTATGCATATATTGGGTTTTAGGTCGGAAAACAGAACAAACATTTTCTGCTCTAAATGCATTGAAGCACTTTATTCATAGAAAAAAATTGAAATTGATATATAAATCTAGCGGAGGATTATATTCCTTCTGGATACCATTAATATGTAAGAGACTGAGATACTTTTCAGAAGATATTGAATATGTATCCCTGTCAAAATTAATACTTCTAAAGTCCGAAACTATAATTACAGATTTTTAATTAAATGTCTTGATGTAACTCTTTGAAAGTTAAAAATCATGCTCTGGATATGAACCCGAGCATAATCATCTATTTCTTTAGTCAAATGCATTGCTATGCATTACTAAATATCGGCTTCATTTGAACAAAACAGAACACCCTTTTCTACACAACAGAAATACGACAGAAATTCACAACTGATTGTTACAGGGCATAGCAAATTACCACTGCATTGAGATTTTCTTGAAATTTACAGTTTTATATTCAGATGGAATTTGTCTGCTCTGTTCTTACTTGAATGACTGTTTGGTTAGGAAAATCCATACTTTTATTTTTTTATTATATATGTTATTTAGTAATTTTTTTTTAAAAATTTTATTTATATATATCTATGCATTCACTTTATCATTCTATAAATTATTGTAGCTCATTAACGACACATATTTTCTTCCTTGAACTTATGTATATACCTGTTATTTTTTTAATAATATTATTTTATCAGCTAACTATAGTTACTACTCTATCTTTGTGCATTTTATAGTAAATTAGAATTTACTATGAATAAATTACTTTTCAGCAACAAAAATTTCATGAACTGAGAACCTATTATTTAATGATAGAAATATTGCATAATTGTATCTATAACTTGCATGTCTTGTATATTTTATAACCAAAAATGTTTGTATTTGCATATTTTATAGTTTTTATCCTGATTTTTCTTATGGAACTCTAGTTAAAAACTTTTTTTTTTTTTTTGAATAAATAAAATGCTATGATTAATTTTATTTTTGAACAAATCAGCACCAGTCAATCTTTAACAGTGAAATCTTAATGAAAGTAGGCAAAGGCTATTAAAATTCCTAATACATATGTGAAATAAATATCATTTGACTTATATGTATGAAATAAATGTAAAAACTAACTGAACTTCCTAGCAAAATTGAAAGATAATGACTAATCAAGTTTAAAATTGATTACTCTGAAATGCAGAGAAAAATATATGTAAAGGGACTGATTCCCCAAAATGAGTTAAATGAAAATGCATTATTAATGCTGTCATTAATGAATGCTACAATAAAGTATTGGAAAGTAATAAATAAATACTCAATCATTAATTGTTATATTTTAGTTTTCTAAATAATACAAGTATAATTCTCATTTCCATGTTAGAAACTACTAGTTTGAAAAATATTAAATTGCATGAACAATAAAAAATATTAATTCTGCATGTATTTTTAAAACTCCCACAAATTTCACCCAAATTAAATCCTGTTATAAAATTTACTTGCACAGAAAATAAATTAAAACATAAAATATGACTTGTAATATATATGATCACACCTTTAAAATAACGCGTTTTCTTTTCCACGATGAGCGACCACTCCCCCTTCCTTGTTTACTTACCGTTTTTTGCTTTTACAACTCAGTTATTACGAGTATAATACTCAAACCATTAATTGAAGAAAATCTGAGAATTATAGATGTTTTCTTCGCGCACGTCACACCGAGAAATACTCAAACTCTTTGCTGATGGCTTTTCAAACGCACATTTCAATTATTCTACTTATTTATGCATGTTTAAAAAACATTCTTTTATATTGAAATGAAATCCGAAATGTACATTATTTCAATGTAACCATCAGTTACCTTATAACCCTCTCACGTCTTCACTAAGAAATCAGAAAAACACCTCAAAACTTCAAACAAGCTGACGTTTAACCTCACTTCACATAGTAAGGGAAGCGTTTTCTTGCCCTCACGAGGCGTGGCTTATTTGCTTCTCCCGGCTTCACTCTCCTCGTATTGCGACAGCAGAGACGCCATCTCCATGTATTCTAACCTCCTTGAGTGGAAATGATAAATGTCTGACTAGCTGCGCATTTTGACAAGTCGTGAAAAATTGTGTTGATTATAACTTCATTGCCCAGTTAATTTGAGGTATCAATTAGGTAACTTTTATAATTCGATTTTGGGTAGGGCCTCGTTGCCCAGGTGTTACGCCATTCAACAGCAGCTGGAATGATGATTTCCAGGATAAGCGGTGCACTTGGATACGCCCCTAAAAGGTTTCTAGCCATACGTCAAAGAAGAAGTGAAGTGAAGTATTTAATGTATACAAAGCATAAAGGTAAGAATTGCAGTTAACTTGAGCTTTGACTTGAGTCAGATTTTTCCGGTTGCGTTTATTTTACTTATATGTTTATTTTACATTACGCCGTGCACTTCGATTCCTTAAACAAAATGGACTTATATGGCCCAGAACTACCACCAGGTAAGCATTAATTAGACTATCTTATTCAATGATTAAAAAATATACATTAGCGTTACTGTATAATTAAATATTGAATTAGTTTTTTTAACAATAGTGTTAACATATAAACAAAATTCATCAGATACTTCACACATCCAGACATAGATGTTAGGTAAACAGAATTAATTCAAAGTGAAAAAGAGTGGATCTGTATTCTTGATTATTTTTTCTATTAGCGGAATTTTGATAGTCACTTAGTGTATGTTTTTTACTAGTGTTTAGACAAAAAAAAAAAAAAAAAGGAATCAGCAGACAAACTCAAACTGTGCACTGAATATTGTTAAGTTGTTCCTAGTAAATTTAAGTGAATTAAGTTGTTCCTAGTAAATTTAAGTGAATAGCTAATTAAAATGAATGCTTTTGTTTTTGTTTAATTGATTATTGTGGAGCACTGTATGGTTATCTACCTGATGAGAGGGATGCTGTCATGGGAGCACTGATTTTCTAATGAAAGTTGGGGTTAGTCTGTATTTTAGGGTGCCACTTGGATTATCGCCAAGTTGTTTCATTTACCACCAAATTGTTGTTTTATTTATGGTAACCTGAGTAGTTAGAATGTTATAGAAACCCTATTATGACGTAAGTACAGTGAATTTTTATGATGAAAAAATGGGTTTTCATTCGCAGAGAACCCATTGGTGCCGTTGCATTTTTACTCGCCAAGCTCGCGGTTCATCGTTGATGAGCCAAGCCGTAAACGGGATTTTTAGTGCATGTAAATTCAAGTTAACAGACAAAACAATGTATTAAGCATATGGTAGTAAAAATTCACAGATAATAAGCATGTAGATGTAAAACTAACCGGTTAAATGTGATATACGAAAATAAATTTGTATTAAATTCAAGTTAGCACAGAAAAGAATAAAAAATTCATTTAAAAAATATAAATTAGTATTAATATACTGAAATTAACTGGTTAAACATGATATACCAAAAAATTTTGTCTTAAATTCCAGTTAACACAGAAAACAATATATTCCTTACACCAGCAGTGGTTTGCTAATTTTGATGACCATGGTGATGCATCAACTATTCTGTCATCTTAGACAATCAATAATATTTTTTATTTCCATTTAATCATCTATTTATGTCACACCTGCCATCATCTGAAAGGTTATTGTTAGAAAAGCATTAATATATTATCTTGTTAAATTTTAAGCCATAAAAATTGATTTTATTCTCATAATTTTAGATGACAATAACCAATAATAAAAATAAAGCATTACTTAATTATTTAAAATGCACATGCACATTTTTTGTGGCCTACGAAACAAATTATTTTAGAGGTTGGAAACCTCATGGTTCTTAGAGCTGTTAATAATAAGAACACAACGTGAACAGCTCGTTACAAATTAGCATTACCCCCTCCTGCCTTTTTTCTCTTCCTTTCATCCCGAACCGAGAACCGGCATCTATCTATGAAAATATTACTATCTATTCGTTGTTAAAAATAATAATAAATAAGAGAAGAATAATAGAAATCTGCATATGTGAACAACGATAGTGATAATTCAACAAAATGAATGCAAGAGGAATGGTTGCAAACTTCGAACAAGCAAATAGGGATAAATCCGATGGGTTACCAGGTTTGAACTATTATCGCCAAAGTTGGCGATGTTTACATTTACCGGGTTTTCTGCGGAAGTGCTTCTGGAAAACTATTTGTAAGGGCTTATTTCTGCATTGGATATCAGTAAGGAAGTACATTCCTTATTTTGTGCCGTAACCTCAAAGGCTGTATGTGATGAGATTAATGTAAAGTTTCTGTACAATTTGGAACAAAAGTGGGAAAAAACATTGACTGGTGTGCAAATGAAGGTTTACTTAGTAGTCATTATAAGTGTCCTGTTTGTATGAAGAAAATGCATATGGTGGAACATAAAGATAATTCAGATGGCTTTGAATTGGTTTATAGTAAGAAAGGTTCATGCAAGAAATGCCGCCAACAGTCCGGCACTACGGAGGATATTTTGGAAATTTATGTGGTGATGGCAATATATTCGGCTGAATTCTAGTTGAGATCATTTTAGAAATTTTTTGGATGCTGTTAAGGAATTTTGTGGGCTACAGACTGAAGACGCAGAAATTTCTAAATATGGCGAGTCAGTATTTCCTTTTTGTAGTGTGTATATGTGATAAGATTTATTTCCTTTTTTATGTTATTTCAGTGTGTGATTTAAAATGCAGTTTATTGATCATTGACTGGCTACAAATTATGTTCAATTTTGGTTATGAGAAACTTTGTTTTAACATTATATGATGCCATTATTCACCTGATTTTTTTTTTTTTTTTTGAGTGAAAATAGTACGTGGACTAAGTCAAGGGAATGCGCAATGCCGAGTTTGTGCAATTCTGCAATTTTTTTTTTTTTTTTTAAGTGAAAATATATCAATGTGTACATGAACACTGAGTTTGTACAATTTTTTGACTTATTTATGTTTTGTGTAGTGGCCATCTTGAAATTGTGCCTTATTGACCAGTTGCCAGTTTTTGCCAAGGGGTACCCTGAAATATATTTATACCAAAGTTGGCTCTTATACTTGGGAAAAACCACAAAAAAAACGACCATGCAACCAGCTCGTTTGCCAGGAATCGTGTCCAGGTGTTCAGTATTGTCATCACATAGCTGCTGATGGGTCTCAAAGGGAAGGTCTTGCTTTGTTAAGAAGTGTTTTGGATTTAATTTTAGTATATAATACACACAGGATTTGGTGACATTGTGATAAGCAGTAAATGGGTCATTTTGGTGTCGGCGACGATTTTCAAAATCGTGCCAATTCCATACCATATACTAGGATTTTACCGTTTTGTTTAACTTTACTTCGGATCAAGTTTCAAATTTTTAGTTTTTTATTTGCTAAATAATTAATTCTGTTATTTTGGCATTATGTTCATCCTACACACATCCTTGTGCAAGTTCAGATTTCTTGAACTCTCATGCAAAAATGTTCACTGGATCTTCTTATCTTCAACTTTTGCGTTTTGTAAATAAAACATAGTCATTTCAAATACTCACCTTTTTAGGATTATTGATTGAATTTACTATTTTGTAATTAATCTGAATCATTTTTGATGAAAATATGGTAGTCTGAGATTTTGACTAAGTTGAGATTTCAGCAATTCTGAATTTGGGATTTTTGTTGGATCAAATTTATATTCAGTTTATATATAGTAAGGTATGTAGAAATTATAAATTAAAAATATGAAGTAATGAAGCATTTCTTACCTTAAAGGAATCAAAATTTATGAAGTTCTTAGTATTTAGGAAGTGCAAAGAACTCGGTAAATGTAAACACTGCAGACAGAGGTGATAAGTGTTCAAACCTTATCCCCTCTGTTTACAGGTGACTAGTGTGTTCAACAACTGATTCACGTGTTCAGAGGTAGCAACTATTCCTGTTCTACTGTTTTTGGTTCCTTATATTGCTGTTTATAATTTTGCATATTGTAGTATCACACTCATTATTTGCCCTTGTACGTGTAATTTATCCGTCACTTAAAAATCTAAATGGCACAACAGTCCTCTGATATCTGCTTTCTTGATTGTGGGCCTCAGGGTACATGAGCATATACCCTGTATAAGAGGTCAGCTTGTTTCAGGACCTCCCGTGCTTAGTCGACATGTGAACTTGGCACTCATTTGATTGAGCCACTCAAGGAATGAAAGGCTGAGTCAACCTTGCCCAGCCCGGGGATCAAAACCCAGGCCTGAGGTGCTCTTGTACAGCACGCCAGCCACTGCACCACCAGACCTCCACTATCCTTCACTTATTCACTATAATTTTATCTGATTTCCATACTGACATTTCTAAACTTTTTAACAATTAATAGATGGAATTATTTTTGTTCAACTAAGATAATTGTTGGAGACAAATGCTTGACTGCAGTGGTGTGTCTCGGAAAGGTTACTGCCTTCATCAAAAACATGTTTACCGTAACCAACAGATCAGTGGAGATTCTGATAATGCGGATTAAGAAGCAGATGGCAAAGGAAACAACTATTATAACTGATGAATGGTGGGCGTGTCTATTCTTAGACAAGCATGGGTATTATGTATATCAGACTGTTAATCGCTTCAGATACTTCATTAATCCGGCAACTTGTGCACACACCCAGTTCAAAGAATCGGACAAGCAGTCTCTGAAAGTAAAATTATGAAAAAAAGAAAGGGGTCTTCAGAAGGAAAATTTAGCTGATCATGTACTTGCATACATATTTTGATGTGAAGTTAAGCATAATGGCAAGATCTATTCGCGGAAATTTGAAACACAGTTAAAGAGTATATTTTTTCTTAGGGTAATATATCTCAGGCAAAATTTACTTAATGACATAGCTTTTTGAAAAAAAGGGAGTCTTTTTCAGAGCCATAAAAATCTGAAGAAAGAAATGAAGTATTGCGAGGTATAAGTATACAAGTTTTTTAAAACTTTTATAATAGAACTAATTAGTAGTATATTTCAATAATAATACTAACATTTACTTTACATTTTTATGTTAACCTTGACTTGCATATTCTTTTTTATCAACCTGTATTTAATTGTATTAAATAGCATATTTAACCATCTAATTTTCAATTGCATATGCTTAATATCATGCTTTTCTGCTGGTTGAATTTGTTGCACTAAATCAGCGATCGTCAACCCTTAGAACTTCACGGACCACTACATATATAATTATATATTTGGTGGACCACTTATATGAATTTGAAAAAAGAAAAAAACTTAAATCGTACCTTAACATAAACAACATATTAATATGCAGAAACAATATTCAACATGCATACATGTAATTCTAATTTTCATTTGTTAATATAGTAAAAGTTCAAAAATCCGCAAAGCTTGGGACCAGAGTTTGTGCGGATTTTAGGATTTTGCGGATTTCAGGACAGAAAAGATAAAACATAATATTCAGACTAAAAGTGCAAAATAAATAAGGTGTATTAGATACATTTAATTAAAT